ACTGGCACCACTTCCGACCAATTGTGTGTTCCCAGAGCTCTCTGCAGCTCTGCCACTGACACAGCAGGGGGAGGCTGTGTGGGCAGGCTGGTGAAAGCCTCACACAATGGCAGTTAGGTAACTGCAGCACACAGATTGTGGGAGAGACTGTTACAGAAGATGCTTTTGGTTTTCAGTCTGTACGTTGCTGAAGACACCTCTCTTAGAGGAAGAGGCAGAGAATGAGTTGGGGGCAGCAGAGGGCAAGCCGATGGACTTCACAGCAGCATCAGAGAGCTGTCTCACAAGACATTACTCCCCCTCAGCTGGTCACAAGCCCATAAATTCGGTCACTTGTCTAGGTTGTTGAAGATTTTGGAACCAAGTCGCTGTGAGACTGTAAGTACCGAAAAAAAGGATTTTGATGCAGTTTGCGAAAATGCAGAGAAGGAAAGATGTCTAGATGGAGCACTTTGTGACCAGCACGAGATGCTTCGTTAGATGAAGCTGCCGTTTGGTTTTCTGGTGGGCGGTGGGGGTGGGGGGGGGGGGGGGCTCAGTGACTGGCGATGTTATGTATAGCTATGATGGGCTGTGCGTTTTACTTGTTGATCTAGCCCCTTTAGCAGCTTAGCAGGTCTCCCTTGGCGTTTTTCTCCCGGATATTAGGAGTACATGGTGCATGCCTATTTTTAAATGCACAGTGCTTGAGTTCAGCTCACTTTTTTACTTATTGCTTTGACATATTTTTGGGCCTGGATATATGTTATGCAATTTCCCGATTGCATGACAATGCAGCAAATTCCGATTTGAAACAATTTGGATCTAAATGGAGGGAATTTGGGAATAAAGGCCATTAAGTACTCTCAATAAATGTTGTTAATTGTATACCAAGTTGTTTTACTTAATTTTTTGTTGTTTGTGCATGCAGTCATGGTAGCTATGCTGAGGACTGGCATCAGTGCTATTGCTGTTTGATGTGGTGAGATTAGTCTGAATTTGTGGCCTGTAAAAAGAGCAGAAGTGCACATGTCATATGCAGGCATGACAAACACAGGCACGTCATACGCAGGCATGTTATACGCAGGCATGACTAACACAGGCACGTCATACGCAGGCATGACAA